ACTTTTAAACTATTTATCTAATTCGTTTAAAACTTTACGATTTACAACACTGTTACGCATATGGACACACAGACAGAACAAAATTAAAAGGATTTTGAAATAGTACAGCGAAACCGTAAAAAGTGCTGTAATATTTATTAACATTAAAGCAACTATATAAGTACCAAGTGACCTTATAAATTTTTTAATCTTGATAAAGCCACTTCCAGTTATGCATACGCCTGTAAAATACAAAATGGCGTCTCCCGCGCAGCGTTTACGATCTAATTATGACGATGCACCGACGTGACGAATGTTTACTACCGTTTACACAGAATCCGCTCTCGGTGTAAAATTAAAATTATAGAGCAGTTTGTTTGTGATTTTACGTTTCGTTAATGCTCGCCGTAACTCTGTTTTAATGCTTAAACTACTAAATTAACAGGGACGGTTTAGCTGAATTACGACCACTTGTATATTATGCTTGAGACAACGAGGCTTGATAACGATGTAGATGTGCCTACTTTATCTGCTATGGCGATTCTCGAGTTGAACTATTTAAGTTAATGAATAGATCGATTGTCTGCGTGTTTAGTTTATTTCAATTAACGGTTGATTTAATGATTGTTCAAGAACATCTGTATACAAAAGTTCATTCGATCATGATTAAAGACGTTACTTAGTGATCAGTGCTGTAACAAAGATTAGAAGTCTCACCAGCGTTGATACAGTATTTTGCTATACGCAACTGACAGCGAAATTATATTTGATTGACAAAAGAGCACTCTTTTAAAGTAAAGTTACAGCCCATATACGTCCCACTGCTGAGCACAGGCCTCCTCTCATTTCTGAGAGGGTTTTAGGGCAAGGAAATGTCCGCCGCGCAGCCCCAATGCGTGTTGGCTAGCTTCACATGTCTTCGAAATATTTTTTCATTATTCCTCAGATACGCAGGTTTCCTCACGATGTTTTCCTTGCATGTGGTGAATCAGCACCTAAAATTGCAATTAACAATTTCATTGGTGCCGGCGGGGATCGAACCCGGGTACTAGCGTTCTGTTATATTTACAGTGAATTTTAACTATCTGAGCTACCACGGTTCTCGAGAGCACGCTTTTAAAACTAAAGAATTTTGACAAAATTTAAAGAAACCAATATACTAACATTGACCTCCCAATACAAAACGTAATTTCACCAAAATCATGTGAGGGACAATTTTGGTCATTTGCGCTAAACTTGGCCCAACTTCGAGTTTTTGGGCTTCGCTGGGTAAAGTCGGAGTGTATATTGAACGTCCACCGTATGGCACCTAGAGCAGAACGACCTCCTTAGCGAGCGACAGTATGGGCTAGGCCATTATCGGTCCACAGGGCCGTTAAGCAATGCCACACCTATATGAGGCCGGGCTGTAGATTAGAATGAGGAAGCGATGACTGCTTTCCTTTATGTCTATTATGAAGCTATGTGTTCAACACATAGCTAATGTGAAGAATCGACGCTCCAGGATTTCTGCAGTCCGTGTACACGTTTGTTTACATCAGATTTGATAGACTTCAAATTTTCGCTACACATCCTAACTTTAATAGAGAAGATAACTGGGTGATTGGGATCTTATAATTATTAAAATTCAATCTCAATCCGAGCTTACAACTGCAAGACTTCAAGATACTGTAAGCTCATTCTGCGTAAATCGGACCATAATTGATATACAAAAACTCAAGGTAGCTGGGCTAACTATGACATCGGGACATTAAACATCTCAGTTCCCCCGTGATCATGGGTGATGTAAAACACCTGAAACGTAGGAACCTAAAACGTCCGGAACTAAAAATATAAATTAAGCGCGATAAAATTTATAAAAAATTAGTTTTGTTTAATGTGTAGTGTTTGCGTAAATATCACCATGTGGAATGTAAGTTTGTTTATTAATTCAGTTTTATAAAAATACAATATCTTAGTTAACAAGTCTATTATTCTTGTTAAGTAAAGACTGTATAAAAAAGGTTATTATAATATTAATGAAATACAAGGTTGATAACAACCCCAAGGAATAACGTACTCGACGCCAAGCTTTTTCTGAAATGTTTTTTTTTTATAATAAATTGTTCAACTTACTTTATTACTTTGAAAAAAAGTTCCGTTGGGTTACTTGCTGGTTGTTTCCAGAACAGCAATAAGCAATACATTTAAGCAAATAGTAAAAGTAAATAAGTCTGCTTTACCACCATCTCACAGAATACTAGCGTTAAAATAGCAGCTTAACGCAGCTTTGTTTCGTGTGATGAGTGTAGAGAACTGGAGATCTTTTGTACTGGAAATGAGGCATTCCATCTTAGTACTCAAAGGTGACAAAGTATTTTCATTTTGTTTCTTAATCGAGGATAAATGTAGATGTCTATGGTCCATAGCATCAACTTACAAACAAGTGGAACTGCGTGAACACGTACGAGATCACCTCATCTCTACAGCTGATTTGGTAGACCACAATTTCTCGCTAAAAAAATCAAAAAACGTGGCTATTGAAATAAAAGAACAGCCCAACTTTAAGAGAGAAAATGATGAGTGCTACCATCTACTTGGGATCCTATAATCAATAAAAATAAATCCCACTATTCGGTTTAAAATAAATTATATAATTTTTTTATGGTTAACTATCACTAGGATTCACTTAAAACATATCCAAGCATACAACTGCAAGACTTCAAGATACTATAAGTTATTACTTTGTATCATCCATCACCAGATCGTTTTAATCTGGAACTTTAGTACCCCCCACTGTGACCATGGGTGCTGTAAAATACTCGAAACGTCAGGAATATAAAATAAGTTAATATACGCGATAAAATCCTTAAAACTAGTTTTATTTAAAAGTCTTTAACCGGGTCTGGAACGCTGGGTTTTTGGGCAAGATTCCTGGTTTAATCAGTTGGGTGGAGGAATATTTGAGTAAATGATCTATCTGAGTCGTTGTCGTAGATTTCTCTTCCGAGCTTATGTCACCTTATGTCGAGGCTCCTTGAGGGTTCTCTCTGCAACTCGCTTTCTTATGTATGACAATGAGCTGCTTATGCCCAGTATGTATGAGTACGCAGATGACACAGTTGTGGAGATACAAGCCAAGTGATTGGACCAGTAGGGATCAAATCCAGTCTGAAAGAGAAGACACACTCTTACTGCAGACAGTTTATGAATCGCACTATGCCAACCTTGTGAGATTCGAACCTCAAAAACACAAACACGTCTCTTTACCGCCAAAGGAGCCCGCTCATCTCAACTCTTTATTTCCGATATGTTGTGGGATTCACGAAACGCTGTAAGTTGCTGGTTTATGTTTCCTCGAACCTGAACTTTGGGCGTTCATTGAGTTTAGGGCAAAAGCAGCTGCAAGTGCAAAAGTGCAGCGATGCTTTACACCGGGACAGTCTGCTATCTGCCGATGATTTCCTGTTTTCAGTGTTCAATATGAAATTGAAAAATTAAATATGAAAAGACAAGATCGATAATTTGTAGACTACCTATATCAAATTTTTTTACTTTCCGCTATGAAAATCAATGAATTTCAAAAAACCAGGAAATTACTGGTTTAGTTTTGTGAGTGCATGCATGTGTGCGTGCGTGCGTACATGCGTGCGTGCGTGCGTGCGTGTGTTGCGTGTGTTGCGTGCGTGCATGCAAGTATGCGTGAGTGCGCGCGTGCGCGCACCCGCGTGTGTGTGTGTGTGTGTGTGTGTGTGTGTGTGCGCGCGTGTGTGTGTGTGTGTGTGTGTGTGTGTGTGTGTGTGTGTGTGTGTGTGTGTGTGTGTGTGTGTGTGTGCACTGGTCATCACAACCTGGTCCATTCGAAAGTTATATTTTTCAAAAAAATCAAAACAAATGTTTTTTAATAATTTCGAAATTTCTGTTCGGATCGCTTTGATGTAATGAGTCAACTATTATGTACTTAGTAAAAATATTTGCAGAGCGTTTTGAGAAAGAATGCTTTAAGTACTAGGGATGGCCTATAGGGTCAACTGTTTTTCAGAATTTTTTTGTGTGCGCCTAATTTCTGTAAATAATGTAACCTAGACGCGGCCTAGGTTTTCGATGTGTGAGGCAGTGAGTAAAATATATATATATATATATATATATATATATATATATATATATATATATATATATATATACGCAATATTTGAATGTTGACTTTGATTTAAATTGTTTAATAATATATTTTTTTTTGTCATTTACTTATTTATTAGGGACGCAAATCTGAGAGTGGCTCGAAATGGTAAAAGTACAAACTGCCGGTGCGTCGCTCTTATCATTTCCGAACTTGGCTTACTGATACACTACCATGTGTGTAGATACTTGTATATGCGTCATCGTAAGATAGTTAAAGCCTTGATAATATAGTTATATCCCTAGTAATATAGCCGTAAACAGTAATAGAGTGAGAGATATGGAAGCCGTTGATAACTCTCTTACCAGAGTCTTCTTCTTCTACCTAGCGTTTATCCCAGTTGCTCATCCCACCCAACGCGGGAGAAACCAGGGTCCGCTTTCCTACACTTCCTCCTCCACTTTTCCCGGTCTTCGGCATCCCTCGCAACTAGCCCATTGGTGCGCATGTCATCCTGCACGACATCAAGCCAGTTTTTCTTGGGCCGTCCTCTACTCCTGGTACCAGGTAGGGTCATGTCCAGGCATTTGTTTCCCACGTAGCTTGCCGGTCGTCGTAAGAAGTGGCCGTACCAGCTGAGGCGACTTTCCTGCACCTTGTCAGCAATGTCACGGACATGGAGGCTGCCGCGGATGTATGTATTCCGTACATGGTCTTTCCGCGTGACGCCACACATCCACCGCAGCTTGTTCATCTCCGTGACATTCAACAACTGCCGGTGTCAAATTTTAAACTTAAGTTCAAATATATGAATAATGATATACCGTTATTGCAGTATTTGAAAATACGAGGAAATAAGGCTTCTACTTTTATTTGAAATTATGCCAAATTGAATGTTATTTATGGGCAACAACGTTTTTGCTTACCGATCGACCCATAAGAATGTGAGCGTGCGCAAAATCTGTTTCCGCGTGACGCCACACATCCACCGCAGCTTGTTCATCTCCGTGACATTCAACAACTGCCAGTGTCGCTCCAGCACCGGCCACGCCTCACTGCCGTAGTTAAGTACAGGCCTTATGATGGTCTTATAGATCTGTCCCTTCAGCTTCACCGGCATTTTGGGGTTACAAATGATACTCGTCACCTCGCGCCATTTCGCCCAGGCCGCTGATAAACGGGCCTTGATGTCGCGATCGATGTCCCCGGACGCATCAAGCACGGATCCGAGGTACCTGAATTTATCCGTGCACTCGACGGTGTCGTCGCCTATACGGAGAGACGTCAGATCTGTGCTGTTGCAGGCCATATACTCCGTCTTCGCCACGTTTAGCTTCAGCCCGCCGTTCTCAAGCGCCTCCCTCCACGCGTGCACGCGTCTGGTGAGCCGTCCTTTGTCCCCATCTACCAGTGCGATATCATCAGCGTACATAAGCAACCAAGGCTGCGGTAGTTTCTGTACGCTGGCTGACAGTTCATCTAATATTACACTGAAGAGATAGGGGCTTAAGACGGAGCCTACGGTTATGGGGAAGGGGGTGGTATCACCAACAGCGGTCCTGACTATTGAATCGGAGTTGCGGTATATGTCACGTACGATTTCCACGTAGGTCACAAAGGCCTTCTGAAGGTCTAGGAATAAAAAATGCAGGGGGCATATTCTTTTCCCTGTGCTTCTCCATGAGGATCCTTAGGGCGAATGCAGGGTCCATGGTACTGCGTCCTGGTTGGAAAACGTACTGGAAGTCCGATATTGTACACTCCTGTCGGATCCTGGTGTCAATAATGCGCTCGAAGAGCTTCATGGTGTGTGACGTCACCTTTATACCGCGGTAATTACTGCAATCCTGAACGGACCCTTTACCCTTGTGGACCGGCGTTATTATACTAAGCCGCAACTGATCGGGCATTATTCGGTCGCTCAGGATTCTATTATAAAGGTTAGTAAGAATGCACACACCACGAGCCCCCAGCACTTTCCGCGCTTAAATTGGCACTTCGTCCGGTCCGACAGCTTTCCGATTCTCCATGTGACGAAGAGATGCGAAGACCTCTTCAGGCGTAATCGGTGGCACGAGTCCATGGTTCGGGAGTTGTTCGGGAATATGCACTTCTCGGTGCCGATTATTCAGCAAAACGTGGAAATAAGAGCGCCATCTCTCCTTTACCCCACGATCATCGTACAGGAGCTCGCCATTAGGGCCGTTGACACTGCAGCAGCGAGTAATATCTTGCGCTGCTTTTGCCCTAGAGCGCGCCAGTTTATATATGAGCTTGTGCCCCTCAGGAGTGTCCAACTTAGCATATAATGGTTGCAAGTGGTCACGCCTGGCTCTGGTTACAGCTTTCTTGGCAGCTCTTTTCGCTGTCTTGTAAGATGCGCGATCTTCAGTAGATTTGGTCGCATGCCACGTCTTGAAGAGCGCTTTCTTCTCTCGTAATGAACCCTGGACTGTGGCGTCCCATCACCAGGTCTCCTTTTCGATTTTGCGACCCCCTTTCACCACACCGGATGCTTTGCCGTCTTTTTGATTGCTGTCTGAATGGTTTTTCAGCACTCTTGGACAGACTTGTCTGCTTTGTCGAGACTAATATCTCCAGCGGCAGAGTCAAACTCTGAGTATCTAGTTTGATCCAGCAGCCACCACTTGATTTGACGGCGGCAACGTTCGGCGTGTCTGCGACGGGGTTTTACGCACTCACCGGGTATGACCTTACAGTTGGCCACGCGACTGATATGACTTTTCCTGGTCAGTAAATAGTCGATTTGTGTAGCGTTCCGATCGCTCCTGTAGTTAATCAGGTGCTCGGTTTTCTTTTTGAAGAACGTGTTCACCACGGCCAGGTCAGCTGCAGTGCAGGTTCTGAGAATGGTTTCCCCCTCTGCGTTTCTTCGGCCGTAACCATAGCCGCCGTGGACACGTTCATACTCCCCCCTGCATCTTGCCCACATGACCGTTCAGGTCGCCACGGACGGACGGACAACGGTATGCCGCATAGTACATCTCCGAGCCGATCCCAAAACAGCGTCTTATCCGCGTCGCTGCAGCCGACCTGTGGGGTGTAGGCACTTATTAAGTGGATCACGACCCCCTCAATAAGCAACCTTACTACCATAAGTCGGTCGCATATGCGTCTAACATCCAAGATGCTATCGTGTAAATGCTCGGCGAGCACCACTGCCACACCGTTCTCCCCACCAAAAGAGCCTGTATAGATCAGCTTGTAGCCGTGCCCGATATTCCGGATCCTGTTGACCTTCCACCGTGTCTCCTGCAGGAACGCCACTGCCACTTTACGCCTGCCAAGTATGGTCGCAAGTTCTGTGGAGCGTCCCGTAAGCGTGCCAATGTTCTAGTTTGCAAAGCGAATCTTCGTAGTTGATGCTAACGTCTTTAGCCGGGCTCGCACGGGGCCCGGTAGCCCTCGCATACTTGTCGCAAGGTTAAGGCGATCCCCATGCGCGTCGTTATGCGGCGACGCCCTAGTCCTAAACGTATATCTCATTCTTTTACTTTCCATTTTTGAGTGGCGTAGTGCCAATTACCGCGGCGACTGCCGTCTGACCCCCGAACACCTAGGACGAATCCCAGAGGAGTGGCATCGCCAGAGCCTTTTCCATTGTCCAGCAGGTGCGCCACGTGCAGGCGGGTTTGGCTTGGGCTCCAAGATCTTAGCGGAGCCTCTTACACCCATAACTCTCTTACTAGAGTAATCTAGTGAAATAATTATCATTGTAGTTTGTTTGTATTTTTTGGTCAAAACAACTTTTGACCTATAATTTTTAATTTTTTTAAATGAAATAGTTAAATTATTTCATTATTTTATTTTATACCTAGGTCTAGGACCCCTACCCCACAAATTATATACACAGAGTTATTTTGCAATAACCGGCCAAATTTAATAAAGGTGAAAAAAAAAATTAAAAAAATCTAAAAATATTCTGTCCTTTTTATCTTTTAAATTCAAAATCCGTGGTAATCCATTATTTTAACAGATTTTTCGCACGCTCACATTCTTATGGGTCGATCGGTAAGCAAAAACGTTGTTGCCCATAAATAACATTCAATTTGGCATAATTTCAAATAAAAGTATAAGCCTTATTTCCTCGTATTTTCCAATACTGCAATAACGTTATATCATTATTTATATATTTGAACTCAAGTTTAAAATTTGGCTACTTTTTAAAAAATAACCATGCATAGTAAACCTGAATGACAACACAACAGGAACTTGAAATCTAATGCAAATGTCACGAACTTTGTTCCTCCTGTACATTCAGTTTATAATTATAATATTCAGATTTGAGTTTGAAGTTTTATATAAATATATTACGGTTTATAGCTATATCCCTAGGGACATAACTATATCACGGCTTTAACAATCATACTGCGACATAGTTTAAAAAAATGCTAAGAAATAATGGAAGAATCAAAATACTAACTTCAGAATGTGAAATATTTTTTTAGTCTTTCAAGAAACCTGTTACTTTTTATTGAATGTAATTTTTTCAACATTTTGAGTAGACTAAAACATTAAAAATATCCCCTGTTTTCTCTACACTTTTCATACCAAACAAAGCAGCATTGAGCTGTTTTGATGGTATTCTGTGAACGCCTGGTCCTACCCTGGTCGTGACGGCCCTATAAAACTGCAGCTTAGCTCTGCTACGTAAAAGTGTCCATTTAAATCTGAAAGAAGAGCAAATTAATAAGGTAAGATCCGATTGCAAATATATATTTTGATGCTAGCTAATCAATTATTCCATGTTTCGTACAACCACCTATTAAAAGTAATGTAATCTTTATAGGATCTTTTTTTACGTTGTTTTATTTTAGAACTCTACTCCCAAATGCTAATTATAAATAAGCGTGTAACATGCGAATGTCGCGAACACGCTTCTGGTACATGGAATTTAGATATGAATTTCCTAACCACAGCCATGAGTTAGTTCCTGTAACCTTCGTAGTTTGTTTATAAACATGTACTCTGTTAGAGGGCAGAAATATTGAAAGAACATCTGTTTATTTAATACAGTATTAAAGTATTTGGATAAAGCTACAATGTAGGAGTAATTTTCGTGTTTGACATTTGACAACTGCTGTGAACTAATGGGAGTATTACTAAAAGTAGCACTGGCATCGTGTTTTAGCATAATATAGAAATAGAACAGTATTAGTAAGGAAATAAAAAAGAAATACAATAAAAGTAATGTACCTAAAGGTACTCTATCCACGACTGATCTTCGCTGCTGGAAATAAGAATGCAGGTTCTTTTCTCGCTCAAAGGATAAGTCGTTCAGCGAGGAAACGCTGCCAGCGTTCTTGGCACGATACCACGGGGAGTAGGAAAGTATGATAGTTTTAGTTATTAGTTTTAGTTTTTGAAGTGAAAACGTCTTTAGGCACGTTAGGCGCTTTTATGAGGTAAAATAGTATGAGGGAAAATCACTGAACTTGAAATGGATTAAGTTAATGTTGAAAACCCAATTGATTTTTATTAAATTTTATATTTAATTTGAATTATTCGATTAAATTTTATGAAATGTATAAATTTATTTGTGTTATATATATAATAATCATTCTTTTTTTCCATATAAAGTAGCGTAATAATAAATGAAAATTTTACTACTACAAATATAAATACGCTGGTATTAATAATTTGTAAAAAAATACTTTCAGACAAATATTTGTTGACAACCCAAAAATAATTTTCACAAATTTGTTACGCTAAGATGATTTCACTTATAACGTGCTGCGACTTACAGATTTTTATTATAGTTTTTTAATATTGTGTATGTATTTCAATATTATGTAAACAATATAAATTACAAACATATTTCAGTTCTAAATAACTTGTTTATCTAATAGCTATTGCGATATTTATAAAAAAAAACATAAATAGTGTAAAAATAAAATACAATAGAAAAGAAAGAGAATTTAAATGGAATGGTAATGGAATAGAAATATTAATATATATTTTTAACCAAAATACTAATAATTAAAACTCATACAGCTGTTTCCCGCACAAAGCTTGAGGCTTGTATCGAAAAAACCATGTGAACAACATGGATATGAACTGTATGACAAAAAAACCAGAGGTGCTCACAAATTTTATACTTAATCTTGTTTATTAGTTAACAATAAACATTTACAGTTCATACTTATCGTAAATGACGTGAAATCTTTATATCGCAGTCTATATATCGCTCAACGCCATCTACACTAGAAAAATCATACTAGTTTAAACAAATCAACACCTGTATGTTTTTTGTAATGTACCATAGCACACCGTGGGTGTATGAGGCGACAGAGGAAAGTAAACCAGATGATGGACAGCAGCGTCTTCCTCATTAAAACTAGAAAATGAAGAATTGCGGTTGCCATTGGGGAGGCCTATCTTCAGCAGTGGGTGGTGATGGGCTGTATTGATTGATTGATTCTGTAAAACTATTTTGTACGGATTATATCGCGTTTAATTTACTTACTTTTAATTTCCAACGTTTCAAGTGCTTTACATTACCCATGGTCACGGGGGGAGTGGGAAGGGGGGGGAGATGTTAGACGTCCTGACGTCATAATTAGCCTGGTTACCTTCAAGTAATGAATATAAATTTTTGGTCCGATCTATGCAGAACAAATTTACAGCCTCTTGAAGTTTTGCAATGGAATGATTCGGTTTGGATTTCATTTGTTAATTATAGTTTATTATATAAGTCGAGATGTCAAACATCTCAGTCCCCCCGCCCCGTGAACAAGGTTGTTGTAAATCACCTGAAACGTCGGGAATTAAAATAAGTAAATTA